AATACATCGCCAGGTCTTGCGCGACCGCCATCCTAGCGTCCCCATCCAGCTCCTTCAGTATGTTTAGCCCCGCGGTGTCCTGCTTCTCCGGCTTCTGCGTTTCCACCATCCTGCGATTGTAATCCTTGCACTGTGATAATAAAAAAACAAGGCAGTGAACGCTGTGCCAGGGTGGTATGTGAGATGCTTGCGGTCGCGTATGCGCGGACCACACATACCTGTTGCTGTCCTTTGTCCGTGGCGGCCCATGGGAAAATGTGCTTCCTAAGTAGCTCATCCAGCTTATCGTTGACCGGAACAGTTGCGCGACCCAGGAAGTAGTCACCGTCAACCCCGGTGAAGCCCGCCTTCAGCAGCACGGCCTCCCTTGGAATGGTTGTGAGGTAGTGCTTAGTCATCACGTCGATGAACCGCCAGCCCCCCAGCCTCGCCAGCTGATCCGAAGGCATTCCGTCCGCGGACGCGTGCTGCGCCCCCCCAGCCCTGGTCGCGTGAACCGCACGCGAGCATGTGATTCCCGCGTCCTGGAGAATTTTCGCCGCCCAGTCGTGATGAGTCGTGGGCGGTATTTGCTTCTCGTTGCCCGCGCGAAGGGGGAAGAACAGATATTGATCGTACCACGTGGAGGGTTCCGTGAAGTCGAGAGGGGGGGCTATGTCCTCGTAGAGGATGGGAACCAAGTCGTACACCCAGTGCAGCCACAGCAGCGTCGCTCCGACCGCGCACATCGTCCAATCTATGTGCCTCACAGCAGATATGTAGTTGAGCGAGAAGTCTTTGTTTGTCTTGCCCGTCCTGCACGCGCAAACAAACATGAACGCGTTTCTAACTGGATCGGTCTCCGATTTTGCGCCTAGCTTCCACATCATCATGTCAGGCAGCTGCAGGTTTCTGATCGTGCATCCGCGGGCCAGAGTGTGATGACCGAGCACGGTCATCGTCCGGATGCTGAGGTCGCGATGCATTGCCTGCGTGTATGCTTTCTTGGCTAGTGTGAAGCTGGTCAAGATCGCGTCCATGCTGGTCTTCCTCATCATATGCTTGAACTCGTCCGGGGTGTACGTGTCCGCGGCCGTGCCCCGATGGCGATCCATGTGTTCCCTGCGCATGGATTGGGACGATAGTGCGGGTGTTTGTGGACGCGGGATTGTCAGGCATTAAACGAGTTCACTGAGAACGTATACTTACGCGATAAACCGCTTGTATTGGTCGCGTACTTGAACGCGGACCCAGATGCGACACTCTGCAAAGTCGCGCAGCAGGTTCAGAACGGGCTTCCTGAAGATCGCCCCGTCCAGCTTGATGAGCAGGTTCAAAGCCTTGAGACGCCCCATCAGCATTGCTGGGGTGCACTGGCGTCTCTTCTTCAAGGTCTTCTGCGGCCGCTTGAGTGTGGCCATCCTGTCCGCCTGCGCGACTGTCTCGTTCGCGAGGAAGGTCACGTATTTGCGTAAGCGCCACGGATTCGTCTCAGGGCCGTGGAACCACTGCTCGTCGCCCTCCGCCATCTTCCAGTCACCACCCATGTTCTGTTCGAGCGCGGCCCCAATCTCGTCCGGGTTCGCGTTTCTCAGCGCGGCCTCATCACCAAACCTACCCGCGTCCAGTTTAGGCAGCTCGTGGGCCATGAACCGCTTGTACTCGTTGGCCCAACCGCGATACTTCTTCAGCGTGGCCTCCGAGACACCGTAGAGGATTCCGTAGCACATCTCTCGTTTCGCGGCCGGCGTGTCGTCCACACCTAGCCTGTTCCAATCCGCGATAGGGACCTCAATGTCCCTCCGCGTACCCCGCACCCGTTCGTTGTCTTCCGCCTCCTCCTCGTTGAGCGCGGACAGCGAGTTCGATAGGTAGTTTTCGTCATCGTCATTCCAACTATCGTCCGCATCGTCAGCGCCGTCCTCGTCATCCTCATCGCTTGTCCCCTCGCTCCCCTCCCGGGAGCCATTGCGTGCCGTGTGCGGCACTACATCGACTCTCCGCCTCCTTATACGCGGTCTATTAACTGGCCCGTTACCTGACCCGCCGTTCGCGATAACACCGCTACCCCTGCCGCCGTTACCTGTCACCCCATGCGCTCCCTGCCCGTTCGCACTATTCTTGTTTGCTCCCACACCTGTCGCACGTCCTGCGCTCGCTCTCCCACCCCGTCGTATCGCACCTCTCCCTCTATCCGCGTTCCCTCTCTCCCCTGTCCCTCCTCCCGCGTTCCCCCTCGCACCCGTCCCTCTTCCCTTTACCGCGTTTCCGCTTGCACCCGCTCCACGCCCCGCGTTCCCCGCGTTTGCCTGTGGTTGCCCACCTACACCAGTCGCGTACTCTACAATCGGATGCGTGGGGGTGCGGATGTGGACGTCGGGGTTTCCGGGAAACAGTGAGTTCACGTTCCATATTGGCGGCGAATGTGCACGCACGCGTGCATTCATCCCCGCTCCACCATTCACCGCATGCCCTAAACCACCGGCAACTACGTTCGATGATGGGCCGTCTGTTCGCGCTCGTGTGTCCAAACCGACAACTAATGCATCTCTAGGGTCTGGCGGGGCTTGCACAGCTGGCTGGCTTTCCGGATGAATCGCGCTGGGGAATGGTGTTGACGGCGCGACCGGAGGCGTCACTACAGATGCGGGTGCGTGCACCATGGGGTTTGGTTGAACGCCGATGTACCCGTACCTGAATCCCACGTTCGAGTACTGCGGCCCTACGAAGCCACGCACAGGCATCCCAAAGAGCTGGCTACTGGGCACGGACGGTGGCGCGTCCCCATTACCCGGTTGATTTTGTAACGCGACCCCCGCTGCCGCAAACGGTATTTGTGGCCGCGGTGCTAGGTGGAGCCCGTTGACCAGTTGCTGTGGGTGAAACGTGGGCGTCCTGGACCCAAAAACCACTGGCTGCCCGTATGGGATGCTCCATGCGGGGTTGAGCGCGTTCACCCCATGCACGGGAGCGGTGGGTGGTTCGGCATTATGTATTTGATGCGCGGTTGTGTTGCCCGAAGCATTGACGGAGTCGTGAAGTATTGGCGCCGCGACGCGATTCACGGTATGCATGCGGCGTGCGAGGTTGCACCTACTCGTATTCACCGCGTGCGTCAACATGATGCGCGGTCACTATTTCTCCACCCGGGTGTGACTTAGACGCGTCTACCTCGCGACCGATGTGCTCGCGGACATTCGAGCGCGGCACACAACGCGGCCGCGATACTGGTGTCTGGTGAATCCCAGTGGGTCGTGAGGGGGTTGAGCTTGGTGTGCAACTGGCGATCGGAAAGTGGAAACTGTGGGCGTCCTCGGCGTAATGACCGGACACTGCGTGGACGTGTTTGACACGTTACCGCGATCGCGCATCGTCCAAACGAAGACACAGCTGTGTGGCTCGTTCAAATTGCGGCACGTGTCAGCCGGCATGGAGCCTACCAGATCGCGCCAGCTGTAACCGAACCGGGTCTCGCTGTGCGCTTGACGAACCTATGCTTGTGCGATTTTTGTTCGCGATAAGTTGCGAGAGAGAACAACCAGTCGTAGCACTCCTTTGGTGTCGCGAACTCGCGGTTGCATGCGCGGGATGTCCCGCTCGTCAATGTTGCCGACCAATCACGTTCGTTTCGCGCCGAGCCGCGCATGCATCGGCGCGTAAGAACGAGGTGGGTTCTTTCGGTTTTCTGGGGGCCGCGGAGCCTTCGGTGGCAGCCTGGTGGGTTTCACTCAGCCACGCAGGGCCGCGCTAGGTCCAAACCTGGTGGGATCCTGGGTGGCCGACTTCGCCCCACGCTCCCCGCGATTTCTCCGCGCCCCGTGCATCCCCAGGCGTGGGCGGGGTTTTTCCCGAGCCGCGCCGTATGAACATCCCAGTCCATCCGGGCCCTGGTGGCTTCGAACCCACCAGGTCCCCCTCCTGGTGGGAACCCGTTCCCACCAGGGCCGCACGCCGATGCAAGGGCTGTCGCGACCCCCAGCTGGGAACCGCACGCGGGAGGGAGTCCCCCGCCCCCTCCCAGGTCCCTAGCGAGATCCGGGCGGCGGAGCGGGCTGGCGGGGTGGTCCCGGCCACGCCAGCGCCACGCAGCGTGGTCCCAACCCCGGGCCCAGCCCTGGCTCGCGAAACCCCTCGCGAAACCAATCCGAGGGCGAGGGCCGAACCCCGGCGCGCCGAGACGGATCCGGCCAATCGGAGCCGTTTCCGACTGGTCCGCCCCTCGGAAGAGCCCTCGCGAAGCATTTCGCATGCGAATCCGCGCGTGCGAATGGCAGTTCGGGCTGGCCGAAACGGATTCGGCCAATGGGAGCCGGTTTACGCCATCTCCGTGCAGCACGAAACGGAGCCGGCCAATCGAAAGATCAAACGGAAAGATCAAACGAGAGAAAAAAAAAAAATTACTTTATGCATCGGATGGACAATATTAATGTTTACTTTATGCATCGGGGAAACATTCAGTTTAATAACGGAGTAAACTGAGAAATAACGGAGGTTACCAGGTTACGTGTAATATAACGGAGTGTACTGTTAATTCGGGTGACCCTAAGTCGGACCTCGCCGGTCGCGACGAGGAAAATTATCTCTTCGCGGGAGTTGGCAGCCCGCTCCGAACGGGGCTCGCGGATGGTGTGCAACGTGGCGGACGTTGGATGCACAAGCGTGCATGTTGCGGAACCTCCCCGCAGGGTGAGAGGCCCGCGCGGTGCGACCGCGAGTGCCGTCTCTTGTTTCCATATCGGCCCACTCTTAGGTTCTCGGTACGGGCACCTGGTGCTCATTTTCGTTCTCCGTCTTCACATCTTGTTCTCTTCCTGCTCGCCCGTTCCACGTAGAGGTCCTCGTCGCCTAGTGCTAGCAGAGACTCTGATTGGCCGCGTTCGCGCTTGGTAGCGTCTAGCGTAGCTCATATTTTCTGCCGCGAGCACATTTTCGCGAACCGTTCGTCCTAGATTCACGCGAGCACTGTGTCGCGTACGTTTCGTCCTCGTGCTTTTGCGGTCGTACCAGTAATGAGCCGCGAAATGAAGGCGCTTAGAGCTGGGTCGAAGGAGGCCGCCTCCTGTCCGGCCATCATCTCTGTTGCGGGAGCCACGGTGGATCTCCCCCCCGAACAGTGGAGGCTGCTCGCAGAGGATAAGCATCCTCTCACGGCCCGTCTGTTCGACTTTATCACCGGGTGAGATCCATGCGTTCAATTCCCTGACTCTTATATGCACGCGTTGTTTATGGTCGCGGTGTTTAGGCTGTTCGCGACATGTCAGCGGTAGTTACTCGTAGGCAGTGCAGGCCGCGGCATAACTCCGCTGTGCTTTTGGGTCGGGATGTTACTGTTTGAGCTTTTCCCCGCCTTCTTTTACACCGTCCCGCACAGCGTGATTGTCCGGAGGTATCTGGAGAAGGAGGTGCATGAGCACGTCCGAATAGTGACGAGCGGTGTTGTCGCGGACATAGTCGCGGGTCGGGATGAAGCGGTCCATGCCTTTGGCGGTTTGATGGAGTGCAGCCTGGTGGTTTTCTGCATCTGGTCCGAGTGAGTTTCCATTGGGAGTGTTCACTTGTGCAGGGATTGCACTCGTTTAAGTGGTTTAACGCGATCGTCAATGGCACGTTCAGGGACGTGGTCGACAAGAAGAGCTCGAACGCGAGCATGCTCATTATGCTACACCCCGACCACTTGTCGCTTGACGGCGACGAGTGGAACACGCGGTTCGTTCGCGTTGCTATTCCCACTGGTGGTGCGGAACACGTCACCGCGGCTGATGCGATTGTGGAGTGAGTACCGCGTACTGGTTTATCATCAGTACCACGTTCATTTCCGCTCCGGGGCTCATGTCGCTAACCGTGCGCTCGCGTGGATATGTATGTGCTTTGGTGCAGGTGGTTTCAGGGTCGCGTCGACGAGGATTTTGCGCGCGGCTCCATTCAGTGCACCCGCTCCCGCCAGCTTAAGGATCCCGAGCGTCTGTTGGATCTGGTACGTCTGTGTTGTGTACGTGTTCTCGATGACCGCCAATAGTTGCAGTGGTGCTAACAAACCCCATGAAATGTTTTCCAGGACGCGACGTCATTCCGCGGCTCATGCGGCAACATCGCTTGTCTGTTCGCGTTCGACAAGATCATTGCCCAGTTGGACGCGGTCGCTGCCAGTGGATCCGGGCCGCAATTCTCGAGGCCAACCGCGAAGACTCTGAATGCACTGAGGCATGAGGCGTACCAAACCGCCGAAGAGCTCGCGTTCAACTTGAGCGTGGATATGACGCGACCCATGCACGGCGGTGAGGCTGAAGGGGCTGAAACGGGGAAGGTGCAGAAAGTGGCTACGGGTGCGCAGGTTGCTGACCATGGTGTTCTCGCTCTCACAGGTGCCGCTGGTGTTTCGAACCGCGGAGGTGCTCGAGGGGGGACGGTGGTCCACGCTGATGACGACGTGGCCGAGGATACCGCGACAAAGGGTGCAACCCGCGATGAGGCTGACCTCGCTGTTGCGCGTGAGGGGGAGGAGTCGAGCGAGGAGGAGGCGGAGGCACATGTGGTAGCGGCCGTGGCATCCAGTAGGCCCACTACATCCGGCAAGAGCATCAAGCACCTCGCGCAGCACTTGGCCCCCGGTGCTGGAAGCGCGGGCCCGAGGGGTGAGGTCGCGGGCAAGAGTCCCGTGACAGGTCCGCGTGATCACGCGTCCCTGTCCTCGTTGCCATCGCATAAGCTTGCTGCCGAGATCCTGCAGCTCGACTGCAGGCTTGCAGCGCTGGCCGAAGAGAACGCACAGCTGAAGAAACGCCAGGAGTCGGGGGTTGGTGGGGTCGCGGTCGTGGGCTCTCACGAGCTTGCGTCCGCGCTTGATAATGCGGTTCGGGTGTTGAAGGAAGAGGCGAGGGCGATCGCGCAGGAAAGAGCGGCACTGGTCGATACGCGTAACCAGGAGGCGTTGGTGCTGGGGAGAGTGGACGCGAGGCTGGGACAGCTGCAGGGGGTGGTGACAGACTCCATGGAAGCCGCTCAGAAGAAGCTGACGGACGAGGTTGCGCGGAAGATCGACAACATGTCGACCGCGGTCTCCGCGACAGCAGAGCGGGCGATCACCACCAGCGGGGTCACGAACGCGTTGCACACCCTAATCGCGCTCGTTGGAGGAGCCCCCCCGCCGCGCACGGATAATGAAGGAGCGGCCGCGACGGAGATTGCCGAGATCGGGGATGCAGAGCATGGAAAGCGGGCAGCGGTTGCAAAGGCGGAGAATCAAAGGGGGGCGAAGAGGCAGAGAGGTTCCCAGGCAGCGGCCGCGGTGCGCAATCCGAGCGTGCAGGACATGCTGAAGCAGAAGTGGGGCGCTGCATCGCGAGGTCCAGCACCGCCTGGTCAACCGGGCTCGAGCTCGCGCTCCATCCCACATGGAGAAGCTGCACCCAAACCACCGGGCCCTGCCGGGGCAACCGCGACAGTGACAAGTACTGTGGGTCGGGGCAAGGGTAAGTCGGAGGATGGAGAGGCGCCGGCTGCTGCGGCAGAGGGCAGGCAGACCACGCTCGCACCCGCTCGTGCTGCAATCGCCGCGGGACATCTGCACAGCGCACTGGCATCTGCAGGTCCTATCGCGGCCTCGGTCGAGGGCAAGGCGGAAAAACGCGGACGGGGTGGCAAGAAGTTGCCCACTCCACCCGTGTACACGATCGACGAGGACGATGCGGATGAGGAGCTGGAGGGTCTCGTGAGCAGGTGGGTCGAGGCGGGCGACGGAGGAGAGAAGGGTGGGGAGGCCGCGGTCGACATTTATAGCGCCGGAGAGAGCGCGGACGAGCAAGACGGAGACGCCGTGATCGTGGAAGGTGGCACAACGGGAGGACATGGTGACACCGCCCCCAAGCGCAAGGGCTGCGGCATCCGCGCTCCACCCAGGGGCGGGCCCGGATTGGTTTCTGAACCCCATCTAGGGGGGAAGAAGCGATGGCTCGGACACGGCGACCTCGAAGACCTGCAGTACAAGACCGCGATCGCGATGTATCCCTACGACGGGAAGGTCGACCCCGGGCTGAATTTGAGCCAGAAGCAGATCCGAGAATGGGCCGCGGACCTGTCCATCGCCGAGGGGTTACATACGGGCCTCTTAATCACCATGCACTACCGCAACCTCGTGGCAAGCAAGGACAGGTGAGCTGTGCCAATCCACCATCACCTAGTGCGTTCATACGATATCACATGGATCGCTCCCGCGTAGTCAGTCGCTTTGGTTTGTAATCATGTTCTGGCCGCTCCAACCCACTGCGTGGCAGGTGGCACCGCATGTTCGATTCCTATCGCGGGCTTACCAAGCCCGGAATGCACACCACCAACGTGATTGCATGGGCCGCGGTGGTAGGCAAGGAGGCTGCATCAGAAGAAGCGGATCTCGGCGACGTGGAGCCGACGGACTACGCGGGAGCGATCGCATGCGCCATTGCAATGGTGTGGGAGGTCACTCGCGGTTCTAACGTCACTGCCGCGGCGGATAATGGAAACCTGGCTGCGCGTGCAGCAGGTTGCTATGGAGAGCGAAGCCGTCTCTTCCCCGTAGTATCCGCGTACGTCATCAATGCGGTGCGGAAGCGCAATAGCCGCGAGGAAGATGAGCCACAGGCTGTCCCAGACCCGAAGGCGGTCGCCGCCGCGATCGTGTCCGGAGTCGTGAACGAGGTCATTGCAAAGTCTCGCGATCTCAGGCACATCGAGTTGGCCGCCCGCGAAACGGTGGACGTTATCATCACCTGGTGCGACTGCTCGGTGGCAGGGAAGCAGATGGAGTCCTTGGGTTTGTACCTTGCCCTGCCAAAGGATCGTCTGAAGAAGCGCACTTGAGTGCGTGTAGTATCGCGTAGCATGTGCACAGCCTGTCCGCCATGCTTGAGTTCTATTCGCGGTGGATTGTGCTGGTGCCTGTAGTAAAGCGTGTGCGTGTGTGTGTGTGTGTGTGTGCGCGCGCGCGCGCGCGTGTGCGTGCGTGTGTGCGCGTGTGCGTGTGCGCGTGAGCACCTAGTGTTGACATTTGGAACAATATGCGAAGGTTTGTAGGATTCAGTGGGTGCGTGTTTTTGCGCGTGACTGTTTAGTAGTAATCTGCATTCGTGTCAGGTATTCCCACACATTATCATTGTACACACTACGACGCGAACAAGCTTTGTACATTAAGCAACAGCAGCACGCAATTAGCACGGCCGCGATGTAAATCAGCACTATCTGACAGCGAAACAACAACAGCCCGCGAGCAACACGGCCGCGTTGTAAATCAGCATAATCTTCGCGTAAACAACAACACTCGCGGTCGATTATAGGGACCCATAACATCGCACCCGAAGACGGTGATATCAATACGAACAACAGCGGGGTCAATCCATTTACTGCAAGTCTGGCATGAGCGCACAGTACTGGGGCCACGCGACCGTGAACTCCGAAGCGGGAAGAGAGGCATCGATGAGACGGTCGCGAACAAGCATCCATTTCACACGCAACTGAACCTCCACCGGAGAGCCCTTCTTGAGCTGGCTCAGTTCCATGTCAACACTCTTCTTCTTTACCGCGATCCCTTCCGATACACCCGACATGCCCACAGCACCTGACATGAGGTCGAGCTTGTCGAGCACTACCGCGATGTCGTCTCCTTGCGCCACCCTGTGGGCGATGAAGTTCATGATTTGCTTAACACGGTTTATCGCGTTCTGGCCGCCTCCCTCCTCTCCAATGAGCGCGGCCATTCGCGAAACTGCGCCGCGGGGTTGGGCCAGAAGCGACTCTGGACTCTCGAGGATCAGCGGGTGCGTTGTCTTGTACAGCTTCCATCCGTCTGACGGTTTGGTGGCGTTGACCCATGGAAGGACGATCGCGTCCCGAATCGTCTGTTCCCTGGTGGGCGCTGCGGCTTTCTTCCGCGTCCCCTGCTCGGTGGGACCTGTGGCATTGGTCGTCGCGGCCGCGGCTCCAGGAGTGGTTGCCTGGTTCGGAACCGCGGTCGGCCCTGAGCTGCTCACGGTGAGCCGCGACAGCTGGGCCTCCAAATCATTCACGCGCTCATCCTTCTCGGCCAGTTTCCGATCGCGATCCTCCAGCAGCCCCTCCAGCTCTTTCACCCGTTTCTGAGTCGCGACCAACTCTAGGCCTAGTCTGGTGTTGTCAGCTTGTGAACGCGTGAAGTACTCAGTGAGGACGGTCACTTGGTTCTGCGCGTCCATTCTGGTACTCACCTCCTGCATGGGCAGAAAGCGACCGCGAACTTGTTATGGTTTGGCATTGACATCACGGAAGAAAGATAACGCGACCATTCAGTACTTACTGCGGGCTGGGTCAGTGTAGGTGTGTTGCGTTGTACTATGGCGAGTTGATTTGCCAATGAGACATCTGCAGCCCACGACGCAAACTCCTCTGTCTGGCAGAGCGGGTTGTTGACCACGTACGGGTGTCGCGGCTGGTGGATGTAATACATCGCCAGGTCTTGCGCGACCGCCATCCTAGCGTCCCCATCCAGCTCCTTCAGTATGTTTAGCCCCGCGGTGTCCTGCTTCTCCGGCTTCTGCGTTTCCACCATCCTGCGGTTGTAATCCTTGCACTGTGACAATAAAAAAACAAGGCAGTGAACGCTGTGCCAGGGTGGTATGTGAGATGCTTGCGGTCGCGTATGCGCGGACCACACATACCTGTTGCTGTCCTTTGTCCGTGGCGGCCCATGGGAAAATGTGCTTCCTAAGTAGCTCATCCAGCTTATCGTTGACCGGAACAGTTGCGCGACCCAGGAAGTAGTCACCGTCAACCCCGGTGAAGCCCGCCTTCAGCAGCACGGCCTCCCTTGGAATGGTTGTGAGGTAGTGCTTAGTCATCACGTCGATGAACCGCCAGCCCCCCAGCCTCGCCAGCTGATCCGAAGGCATTCCGTCCGCGGACGCGTGCTGCGCCCCCCCAGCCCTGGTCGCGTGAACCGCACGCGAGCATGTGATTCCCGCGTCCTGGAGAATTTTCGCCGCCCAGTCGTGATGAGTCGTGGGCGGTATTTGCTTCTCGTTGCCCGCGCGAAGGGGGAAGAACAGATTTTGATCGTACCACGTGGAGGGTTCCGTGAAGTCGAGAGGGGGGGCTATGTCCTCGTAGAGGATGGGAACCAAGTCGTACACCCAGTGCAGCCACAGCAGCGTCGCTCCGACCGCGCACAGCGTCCAATCTATGTGCCTCACAGCAGATATGTAGTTGAGCGAGAAGTCTTTGTTTGTCTTGCCCGTCCTGCACGCGCAAACAAACATGAACGCGTTTCTAACTGGATCGGTCTCCGATTTTGCGCCTAGCTTCCACATCATCATGTCAGGCAGCTGCAGGTTTCTGATCGTGCATCCGCGGGCCAGAGTGTGATGACCGAGCACGGTCATCGTCCGGATGCTGAGGTCGCGATGCATTGCCTGCGTGTATGCTTTCTTGGCTAGTGTGAAGCTGGTCAAGATCGCGTCCATGCTGGTCTTCCTCATCATATGCTTGAACTCGTCCGGGGTGTACGTGTCCGCGGCCGTGCCCCGATGGCGATCCATGTGTTCCCTGCGCATGGATTGGGACGATAGTGCGGGTGTTTGTGGACGCGGGATTGTCAGGCATTAAACGAGTTCACTGAGAACGTATACTTACGCGATAAACCGCTTGTATTGGTCGCGTACTTGAACGCGGACCCAGATGCGACACTCTGCAAAGTCGCGCAGCAGGTTCAGAACGGGCTTCCTGAAGATCGCCCCGTCCAGCTTGATGAGCAGGTTCAAAGCCTTGAGACGCCCCATCAGCATTGCTGGGGTGCACTGGCGTCTCTTCTTCAAGGTCTTCTGCGGCCGCTTGAGTGTGGCCATCCCGTCCGCCTGCGCGACTGTCTCGTTCGCGAGGAAGGTCACGTATTTGCGTAAGCGCCACGGATTCGTCTCAGGGCCGTGGAACCACTGCTCGTCGCCCTCCGCCATCTTCCAGTCACCACCCATGTTCTGTTCGAGCGCGGCCCCAATCTCGTCCGGGTTCGCGTTTCTCAGCGCGGCCTCATCACCAAACCTACCCGCGTCCAGTTTAGGCAGCTCGTGGGCCATGAACCGCTTGTACTCGTTGGCCCAACCGCGATACTTCTTCAGCGTGGCCTCCGAGACACCGTAGAGGATTCCGTAGCACATCTCTCGTTTCGCGGCCGGCGTGTCGTCCACACCTAGCCTGTTCCAATCCGCGATAGGGACCTCAATGTCCCTCCGCGTACCCCGCACCCGTTCGTTGTCTTCCGCCTCCTCCTCGTTGAGCGCGGACAGCGAGTTCGATAGGTAGTTTTCGTCATCGTCATTCCAACTATCGTCCGCATCGTCAGCGCCGTCCTCGTCATCCTCATCGCTTGTCCCCTCGCTCCCCTCCCGGGAGCCATTGCGTGCCGTGTGCGGCACTACATCGACTCTTCGCCTCCTTATACGTGGTCTATTAACTGGCCCGTTACCTGACCCGCCGTTCGCGATAACACCGCTACCCCTGCCGCCGTTACCTGTCACCCCATGCGCTCCCTGCCCGTTCGCACTATTCTTCTTTGCTCCCACACCTGTCGCACGTCCTGCGCTCGCTCTCCCACCCCGTCGTATCGCACCTCTCCCTCTATCCGCGTTCCCTCTCTCCCCTGTCCCTCCTCCCGCGTTCCCCCTCGCACCCGTCCCTCTTCCCTTTACCGCGTTTCCGCTTGCACCCGCTCCACGCCCCGCGTTCCCCGCGTTTGCCTGTGGTTGCCCACCTACACCAGTCGCGTACTCTACAATCGGATGCGTGGGGGTGCGGATGTGGACGTCGGGGTTTCCGGGAAACAGTGAGTTCACGTTCCATATTGGCGGCGAATGTGCACGCACGCGTGCATTCATCCCCGCTCCACCATTCACCGCATGCCCTAAACCACCGGCAACTACGTTCGATGATGGGCCGTCTGTTCGCGCTCGTGTGTCCAAACCGACAACTAATGCATCTCTAGGGTCTGGCGGGGCTTGCACAGCTGGCTGGCTTTCCGGATGAATCGCGCTGGGGAATGGTGTTGACGGCGCGACCGGAGGCGTCACTACAGATGCGGGTGCGTGCACCATGGGGTTTGGTTGAACGCCGATGTACCCGTACCTGAATCCCACGTTCGAGTACTGCGGCCCTACGAAGCCACGCACAGGCATCCCAAAGAGCTGGCTACTGGGCACGGACGGTGGCGCGTCCCCATTACCCGGTTGATTTTGTAACGCGACCCCCGCTGCCGCAAACGGTGTTTGTGGCCGCGGTGCTAGGTGGAGCCCGTTGACCAGTTGCTGTGGGTGAAACGTGGGCGTCCTGGACCCAAAAACCACTGGCTGCCCGTATGGGATGCTCCATGCGGGGTTGAGCGCGTTCACCCCATGCACGGGAGCGGTGGGTGGTTCGGCATTATGTATTTGATGCGCGGTTGTGTTGCCCGAAGCATTGACGGAGTCGTGAAGTATTGGCGCCGCGACGCGATTCACGGTATGCATGCGGCGTGCGAGGTTGCACCTACTCGTATTCACCGCGTGCGTCAACATGATGCGCGGTCACTATTTCTCCACCCGGGTGTGACTTAGACGCGTCTACCTCGCGACCAATGTGCTCGCGGACATTCGAGCGCGGCACACAACGCGGCCGCGATACTGGTGTCTGGTGAATCCCAGTGGGTCGTGAGGGGGTTGAGCTTGGTGTGCAACTGGCGATCGGAAAGTGGAAACTGTGGGCGTCCTCGGCGTAATGACCGGACACTGCGTGGACGTGTTTGACACGTTACCGCGATCGCGCATCGTCCAAACGAAGACACAGCTGTGTGGCTCGTTCAAATTGCGGCACGTGTCAGCCGGCATGGAGCCTACCAGATCGCGCCAGCTGTAACCGAACCGGGTCTCGCTGTGCGCTTGACGAACCTATGCTTGTGCGATTTTTGTTCGCGATAAGTTGCGAGAGAGAACAACCAGTCGTAGCACTCCTTTGGTGTCGCGAACTCGCGGTTGCATGCGCGGGATGTCCCGCTCGTCAATGTTGCCGACCAATTACGTTCGTTTCGCGCCGAGCCGCGCATGCATCGGCGCGTAAGAACGAGGTGGGTTCTTTCGGTTTTCTGGGGGCCGCGGAGCCTTCGGTGGCAGCCTGGTGGGTTTCACTCAGCCACGCAGGGCCGCGCTAGGTCCAAACCTGGTGGGATCCTGGGTGGCCGACTTCGCCCCACGCTCCCCGCGATTTCTCCGCGCCCCGTGCATCCCCAGGCGTGGGCGGGGTTTTTCCCGAGCCGCGCCGTATGAACATCCCAGTCCATCCGGGCCCTGGTGGCTTCGAACCCACCAGGTCCCCCTCCTGGTGGGAACCCGTTCCCACCAGGGCCGCACGCCGATGCAAGGGCTGTCGCGACCCCCAGCTGGGAACCGCACGCGGGAGGGAGTCCCCCGCCCCCTCCCAGGTCCCTAGCGAGATCCGGGCGGCGGAGCGGGCTGGCGGGGTGGTCCCGGCCACGCCAGCGCCACGCAGCGTGGTCCCAACCCCGGGCCCAGCCCTGGCTCGCGAAACCCCTCGCGAAACCAATCCGAGGGCGAGGGCCGAACCCCGGCGCGCCGAGACGGATCCGGCCAATCGGAGCCGTTTCCGACTGGTCCGCCCCTCGGAAGAGCCCTCGCGAAGCATTTCGCATGCGAATCCGCGCGTGCGAATGGCAGTTCGGGCTGGCCGAAACGGATTCGGCCAATGGGAGCCGGTTTACGCCATGTCCGTGCAGCACGAAACGGAGCCGGCCAATCGAAAGATCAAACGGAAAGATCAAGCGAGAAAAAAAAAAATTTACTTTATGCATCGGATGGACAATATTAATGTTTACTTTATGCATCGGGGAAACATTCAGTTTAATAACGGAGTAAACTGAGAAATAACGGAGGTTACCAGGTTACGTGTAATATAACGGAGTGTACTGTTAATTCGGGTGACCCTAAGTCGGACCTCGCCGGTCGCGACGAGGAAAATTATCTCTTCGCGGGAGTTGGCAGCCCGCTCCGAACGGGGCTCGCGGATGGTGTGCAACGTGGCGGACGTTGGATGCACAAGCGTGCATGTTGCGGAACCTCCCCGCAGGGTGAGAGGCCCGCGCGGTGCGACCGCGAGTGCCGTCTCTTGTTTCCATATCGGCCCACTCTTAGGTTCTCGGTACGGGCACCTGGTGCTCATTTTCGTTCTCCGTCTTCACATCTTGTTCTCTTCCTGCTCGCCCGTTCCACGTAGAGGTCCTCGTCGCCTAGTGCTAGCAGAGACTCTGATTGGCCGCGTTCGCGCTTGGTAGCGTCTAGCGTAGCTCATATTTTCTGCCGCGAGCACATTTTCGCGAACCGTTCGTCCTAGATTCACGCGAGCACTGTGTCGCGTACGTTTCGTCCTCGTGCTTTTGCGGTCGTACCAGTAATGAGCCGCAAAATGAAGGCGCTTAGAGCTGGGTCGAAGGAGGCCGCCTCCTGTCCGGCCATCATCTCTGTTGCGGGAGCCACGGTGGATCTCCCCCCCGAACAGTGGAGGCTGCTCGCAGAGGATAAGCATCCTCTCACGGCCCGTCTGTTCGACTTTATCACCGGGTGAGATCCATGCGTTCAATTCCCTGACTCTTATATGCACGCGTTGTTTATGGTCGCGGTGTTTAGGCTGTTCGCGACATGTCAGCGGTAGTTACTCGTAGGCAGTGCAGGCCGCGGCATAACTCCGCTGTGCTTTTGGGTCGGGATGTTACTGTTTGAGCTTTTTCCCGCCTTCTTTTACACCGTCCCGCACAGCGTGATTGTCCGGAGGTATCTGGAGAAGGAGGTGCATGAGCACGTCCGAATAGTGACGAGCGGTGTTGTCGCGGACATAGTCGCGGGTCGGGATGAAGCGGTCCATGCCTTTGGCGGTTTGATGGAGTGCAGCCTGGTGGTTTTCTGCATCTGGTCCGAGTGAGTTTCCATTGGGAGTGTTCACTTGTGCAGGGATTGCACTCGTTTAAGTGGTTTAACGCGATCGTCAATGGCACGTTCAGGGACGTGGTCGACAAGAAGAGCTCGAACGCGAGCATGCTCATTATGCTACACCCCGACCACTTGTCGCTTGACGGCGACGAGTGGAACACGCGGTTCGTTCGCGTTGCTATTCCCACTGGTGGTGCGGAACACGTCACCGCGGCTGATGCGATTGTGGAGTGAGTACCGCGTACTGGTTTATCATCAGTACCACGTTCATTTCCGCTCCGGGGCTCATGTCGCTAACCGTGCGCTCGCGTGGATATGTATGTGCTTTGGTGCAGGTGGTTTCAGGGTCGCGTCGACGAGGATTTTGCGCGCGGCTCCATTCAGTGCACCCGCTCCCGCCAGCTTAAGGATCCCGAGCGTCTGTTGGATCTGGTACGTCTGTGTTGTGTACGTGTTCTCGATGACCGCCAATAGTTGCAGTGGTGCTAACAAACCCCATGAAATGTTTTCCAGGACGCGATGTCATTCCGCGGCTCATGCGGCAACATCGCTTGTCTGTTCGCGTTCGACAAGATCATTGCCCAGTTGGACGCGGTCGCTGCCAGTGGATCCGGGCCGCAATTCTCGAGGCCAACCGCGAAGACTCTGAATGCACTGAGGCATGAGGCGTACCAAACCGCCGAAGAGCTCGCGTTCAACTTGAGCGTGGATATGACGCGACCCATGCACGGCGGTGAGGCTGAAGGGGCTGAAACGGGGAAGGTGCAGAAAGTGGCTACGGGTGCGCAGGTTGCTGACCATGGTGTTCTCGCTCTCACAGGTGCCGCTGGTGTTTCGAACCGCGGAGGTGCTCGAGGGGGGACGGTGGTCCACGCTGATGACGACGTGGCCGAGGATACCGCGACAAAGGGTGCAACCCGCGATGAGGCTGACCTCGCTGTTGCGCGTGAGGGGGAGGAGTCGAGCGAGGAGGAGGCGGAGGCACATGTGGTAGCGGCCGCGGCATCCAGTAGGCCCACTACATCCGGCAAGAGCATCAAGCACCTCGCGCAGCACTTGGCCCCCGGTGCTGGAAGCGCGGGCCCGAGTGGTGAGGTCGCGGGCAAGAGTCCCGTGACAGGTCCGCGTGATCACGCATCCCTGTCCTCGTTGCCATCGCATAAGCTTGCTGCCGAGATCCTGCAGCTCGACTGCAGGCTTGCAGCGCTGGCCGAAGAGAACGCACAGCTGAAGAAACGCCAGGAGTCGGGGGTTGGTGGGGTCGCGGTCGTGGGCTCTCACGAGCTTGCGTCCGCGCTTGATAATGCGGTTCGGGTGTTGAAGGAAGAGGCGAGGGCGATCGCGCAGGAAAGAGCGGCACTGGTCGATACGCGTAACCAGGAGGCGTTGGTGCTGGGGAGAGTGGACGCGAGGCTGGGACAGCTGCAGGGGGTGGTGACAGACTCCATGGAAGCCGCTCAGAAGAAGCTGACGGACGAGGTTGCGCGGAAGATCGACAACATGTCGACCGCGGTCTCCGCGACAGCAGAGCGGGCGATCACCACCAGCGGGGTCACGAACGCGTTGCACACCCTAATCGCGCTCGTTGGAGGAGCCCCCCCCGCCGCGCACGGATAATGAAGGAGCGGCCGCGACGGAGATTGCCGAGATCGGGGATGCAGAGCATGGAAAGCGGGCAGCGGTTGCAAAGGCGGAGAATCAAAGGGGGGCGAAGAGGCAGAGAGGTTCCCAGGCAGCGGCCGCGGTGCGCAATCCGAGCGTGCAGGACATGCTGAAGCAGAAGTGGGGCGCTGCATCGCGAGGTCCAGCACCGCCTGGTCAACCGGGCTCGAGCTCGCGCTCCATCCCACATGGAGAAGCTGCACCCAAACCACCGGGCCCTGCCGGGGCAACCGCGACAGTGACAAGTACTGTGGGTCGGGGCAAGGGTAAGTCGGAGGATGGAGAGGCGCCGGCTGCTGCGGCAGAGGGTAGGCAGACCACGCTCGCACCCGCTCGTGCTGCAATCGCCGCGGGACATCTGCACAGCGCACTGGCATCTGGAGGTCCTATCGCGGCCTCGGTCGAGGGCAAGGCGGAAAAACGCGGACGGGGTGGCAAGAAGTTGCCCACTCCACCCGTGTACACGATCGACGAGGACGATGCGGATGAGGAGCTGGAGGGTCTCGTGAGCAGGTGGGTCGAGGCGGGCGATGGAGGAGAGAAGGATGGGGAGGCCGCGGTCGACATTTATAGCGCCGGAGAGAGCGCGGACGAGCAAGACGGAGACGCCGTGATCGTGGAAGGTGGCACAACGGGAGGACATGGTGACACCGCCCCCAAGCGCAAGGGCTGCGGCATCCGCGCTCCACCCAGGGGCGGGCCCGGATTGGTTTCTGAACCCCATCTAGGGGGGAAGAAGCGATGGCTCGGACACGGCGACCTCAAAGACCTGCAGTACAAGACCGCGATCGCGATGTATCCCTACGACGGGAAGGTCGACCCCGGGCTGAATTTGAGCCAGAAGCAGATCCGAGAATGGGCCGCGGACCTGTCCATCGCCGAGGGGTTACATACGGGCCTCTTAATCACCATGCACTACCGCAACCTCGTGGCAAGCAAGGACAGGTGAGCTGTGCCAATCCACCATCACCTAGTGCGTTCATACGATATCACATGGATCGCTCCCGCGTAGTCAGTCGCTTTGGTTTGTAATCATGTTCTGGCCGCTCCAACCCACTGCGTGGCAGGTGGCACCGCATGTTCGATTCCTATCGCGGGCTTACCAAGCCCGGAATGCACACCACCAACGTGATTGCATGGGCCGCGGTGGTAGGCAAGGAGGCTGCATCAGAAGAAGCGGATCTCGGCGACGTGGAGCCGACGGACTACGCGGGAGCGATCGCATGCGCCATTGCAATGGTGTGGGAGGTCACTCGCGGTTCTAACGTCACTGCCGCGGCGGATAATGGAAACCTGGCTGCGCGTGCAGCAGGTTGCTATGGAGAGCGAAGCCGTCTCTTCCCCGTAGTATCCGCGTACGTCATCAATGCGGTGCGGAAGCGCAATAGCCGCGAGGAAGATGAGCCACAGGCTGTCCCAGACCCGAAGGCGGTCGCCGCCGCGATCGTGTCCGGAGTCGTGAACGAGGTCATTGCAAAGTCTCGCGATCTCAGGCACATCGAGTTGGCCGCCCGCGAAACGGTGGACGTTATCATCACCTGGTGCGACTGCTCGGTGGCAGGGAAGCAGATGGAGTCCTTGGGTTTGTACCTTGCCCTGCCAAAGGATCGTCTGAAGAAGCGCACTTGAGTGCGTGTAGTATCGCGTAGCATGTGCACAGCCTGTCCGCCATGCTTGAGTTCTACTCGCGGTGGATTGTGCTGGTGCCTGTAGTAAAGCGTGTGCGCGTGTGTGTGTGTGTGTGTGTGTGCGCGCGCGCGCGAGTGTGCGTGCGTGTGTGCGCGTGTGCGTGTGCGCGTGAGCACCTAGTGTTGACATTTGGAACAATATGCGAAGGTTTGTAGGATTCAGTGGGTGCGTGTTTTTGCGCGTGACTGTTTAGTAGTAATCTGCATTCGTGTCAGGTATTCCCACACATTATCATTGTACACACTACGACGCGAACAAGCTTTGTACATTAAGCAACAGCAGCACGCAATTAGCACGGCCGCGATGTAAATCAGCACTATCTGACAGCGAAACAACAACAGCCCGCGAGCAACATGGCCGCGTTGTAAATCAGCATAATCTTCGCGTAAACAACAACACTCGCGGTCGATTATAGGGACCCATAACATCGCACCCGAAGACGGTGATATCAATACGAACAACAGCGGGGTCAATCCATTTACTGCAAGTCTGGCATGAGCGCACAGTACTGGGGCCACGCGACCGTGAACTCCGAAGCGGGAAGAGAGGCATCGATGAGACGGTCGCGAACAAGCATCCATTTCACACGCAACTGAACCTCCACCGGAGAGCCCTTCTTGAGCTGGCTCAGTTCCATGTCAACACTCTTCTTCTTTACCGCGATCCCTTCCGATACACCCGACATGCCCACAGCACCTGACATGAGGTCGAGCTTGTCGAGCACTACCGCGATGTCGTCTCCTTGCGCCACCCTGTGGGCGATGAAGTTCATGATTCGCTTAACACGGTTTATCGCGTTCTGGCCGCCTCCCTCCTCTCCAATGAGCGCGGCCATTCGAGAAACTGCGCCGCGGGGTTGGGCCAGAAGCGACTCTGGACTCTCGAGGATCAGCGGGTGCGTTGTCTTGTACAGCTTCCATCCGTCTGACGGTTTGGTGGCGTTGACCCATGGAAGGACGATCGCGTCCCGAATCGTCTGTTCCCTGGTGGGCGCTGCGGCTTTCTTCCGCGTCCCCTGCTCGGTGGGACCTGTGGCATTGGTCGTCGCGGCCGCGGCTCCAGGAGTGGTTGCCTGGTTCGGAACCGCGGTCGGCCCTGAGCTGCTCACGGTGAGCCGCGACAGCTGGGCCTCCAAATCATTCACGCGCTCATCCTTCTCGGCCAGTTTCCGATCGCGATCCTCCAGCAGCCCCTCCAGCTCTTTCACCCGTTTCTGAGTCGCGACCAACTCTAGGCCTAGTCTGGTGTTGTCAGCTTGTGAACGCGTGAAGTACTCAGTGAGGACGGTCACTTGGTTCTGCGCGTCCATTCTGGTACTCACCTCCTGCATGGGCAGAAAGCGACCGCGAACTTGTTATGGTTTGGCATTGACATCACGGAAGAAAGATAACGCGACCATTCAGTACTTACTGCGGGCTGGGTCAGTGTAGGTGTGTTGCGTTGTACTATGGCGAGTTGATTTGCCAATGAGACATCTGCAGCCCACGACGCAAACTCCTCTGTCTGGCAGAGCGGGTTGTTGACCACGTACGGGTGTCGCGGCTGGTGGATGTAATACATCGCCAGGTCTTGCGCGACCGCCATCCTAGCGTCCCCATCCAGCTCCTTCAGTATGTTTAGCCCCGCGGTGTCCTGCTTCTCCGGCTTCTGCGTTTCCACCATCCTGCGGTTGTAATCCTTGCACTGTGACAATAAAAAAACAAGGCAGTGAACGCTGTGCCAGGGTGGTATGTGAGATGCTTGCGGTCGCGTATGCGCGGACCACACATACCTGTTGCTGTCCTTTGTCCGTGGCGGCCCATGGGAAAATGTGCTTCCTAAGTAGCTCATCCAGCTTATCGTTGACCGGAACAGTTGCGCGACCCAGGAAGTAGTCACCGTCAACCCCGGTGAAGCCCGCCTTCAGCAGCACGGCCTCCCTTGGAATGGTTGTGAGGTAGTGCTTAGTCATCACGTCGATGAACCGCCAGCCCCCCAGCCTCGCCAGCTGATCCGAAGGCATTCCGTCCGCGGACGCGTGCTGCGCCCCCCCAGCCCTGGTCGCGTGAACCGCACGCGAGCATGTGATTCCCGCGTCCTGGAGAATTTTCGCCGCCCAGTCGTGATGAGTCGTGGGCGGTATTTGCTTCTCGTTGCCCGCGCGAAGGGGGAAGAACAGATATTGATCGTACCACGTGGAGGGTTCCGTGAAGTCGAGAGGGGGGGCTATGTCCTCGTAGAGGATGGGAACCAAGTCGTACACCCAGTGCAGCCACAGCAGCGTCGCTCCGACCGCGCACAGCGTCCAATCTATGTGCCTCACAGCAGATATGTAGTTGAGCGAGAAGTCTTTGTTTGTCTTGCCCGTCCTGCACGCGCAAACAAACATGAACGCGTTTCTAACTGGATCGGTCTCCGATTTTGCGCCTAGCTTCCACATCATCATGTCAGGCAGCTGCAGGTTTCTGATCGTGCATCCGCGGGCCAGAGTGTGATGACCGAGCACGGTCATCGTCCGGATGCTGAGGTCGCGATGCATTGCCTGCGTGTATGCTTTCTTGGCTAGTGTGAAGCTGGTCAAGATCGCGTCCATGCTGGTCTTCCTCATCATATGCTTGAACTCGTCCGGGGTGTACGTGTCCGCGGCCGTGCCCCGATGGCGATCCATGTGTTCCCTGCGCATGGATTGGGACGATAGTGCGGGTGTTTGTGGACGCGGGATTGTCAGGCATTAAACGAGTTCACTGAGAACGTATACTTACGCGATAAACCGCTTGTATTGGTCGCGTACTTGAACGCGGACCCAGATGCGACACTCTGCAAAGTCGCGCAGCAGGTTCAGAACGGGCTTCCTGAAGATCGCCCCGTCCAGCTTGATGAGCAGGTTCAAAGCCTTGAGACGCCCCATCAGCATTGCTGGGGTGCACTGGCGTCTCTTCTTCAAGGTCTTCTGCGGCCGCTTGAGTGTGGCCATCCTGTCCGCCTGCGCGACTGTCTCGTTCGCGAGGAAGGTCACGTATTTGCGTAAGCGCCACGGATTCGTCTCAGGGCCGTGGAACCACTGCTCGTCGCCCTCCGCCATCTTCCAGTCACCACCCATGTTCTGTTCGAGCGCGGCCCCAATCTCGTCCGGGTTCGCGTTTCTCAGCGCGGCCTCATCACCAAACCTACCCGCGTCCAGTTTAGGCAGCTCGTGGGCCATGAACCGCTTGTACTCGTTGGCCCAACCGCGATACTTCTTCAGCGTGGCCTCCGAGACACCGTAGAGGATTCCGTAGCACATCTCTCGTTTCGCGGCCGGCGTGTCGTCCACACCTAGCCTGTTCCAATCCGCGATAGGGACCTCAATGTCCCTCCGCGTACCCCGCACCCGTTCGTTGTCTTCCGCCTCCTCCTCGTTGAGCGCGGACAGCGAGTTCGATAGGTAGTTTTCGTCATCGTCATTCCAACTATCGTCCGCATCGTCAGCGCCGTCCTCGTCATCCTCATCGCTTGTCCCCTCGCTCCCCTCCCGGGAGCCATTGCGTGCCGTGTGCGGCACTACATCGACTCTCCGCCTCCTTATACGCGGTCTATTAACTGGCCCGTTACCTGACCCGCCGTTCGCGATAACACCGCTACCCCTGCCGCCGTTACCTGTCACCCCATGCGCTCCCTGCCCGTTCGCACTATTCTTGTTTGCTCCCACACCTGTCGCACGTCCTGCGCTCGCTCTCCCACCCCGTCGTATCGCACCTCTCCCTCTATCCGCGTTCCCTCTCTCCCCTGTCCCTCCTCCCGCGTTCCCCCTCGCACCCGTCCCTCTTCCCTTTACCGCGTTTCCGCTTGCACCCGCTCCACGCCCCGCGTTCCCCGCGTTTGCCTGTGGTTGCCCACCTACACCAGTCGCGTACTCTACAATCGGATGCGTGGGGGTGCGGATGTGGACGTCGGGGTTTCCGGGAAACAGTGAGTTCACGTTCCATATTGGCGGCGAATGTGCACGCACGCGTGCATTCATCCCCGCTCCACCATTCACCGCATGCCCTAAACCACCGGCAACTACGTTCGATGATGGGCCGTCTGTTCGCGCTCGTGTGTCCAAACCGACAACTAATGCATCTCTAGGGTCTGGCGGGGCTTGCACAGCTGGCTGGCTTTCCGGATGAATCGCGCTGGGGAATGGTGTTGACGGCGCGACCGGAGGCGTCACTACAGATGCGGGTGCGTGCACCATGGGGTTTGGTTGAACGCCGATGTACCCGTACCTGAATCCCACGTTCGAGTACTGCGGCCCTACGAAGCCACGCACAGGCATCCCAAAGAGCTGGCTACTGGGCACGGACGGTGGCGCGTCCCCATTACCCGGTTGATTTTGTAACGCGACCCCCGCTGCCGCAAACGGTATTTGTGGCCGCGGTGCTAGGTGGAGCCCGTTGACCAGTTGCTGTGGGTGAAACGTGGGCGTCCTGGACCCAAAAACCACTGGCTGCCCGTATGGGATGCTCCATGCGGGGTTGAGCGCGTTCACCCCATGCACGGGAGCGGTGGGTGGTTCGGCATTATGTATTTGATGCGCGGTTGTGTTGCCCGAAGCATTGACGGAGTCGTGAAGTATTGGCGCCGCGACGCGATTCACGGTATGCATGCGGCGTGCGAGGTTGCACCTACTCGTATTCACCGCGTGCGTCAACATGATGCGCGGTCACTATTTCTCCACCCGGGTGTGACTTAGACGCGTCTACCTCGCGACCGATGTGCTCGCGGACATTCGAGCGCGGCACACAACGCGGCCGCGATACTGGTGTCTGGTGAATCCCAGTGGGTCGTGAGGGGGTTGAGCTTGGTGTGCAACTGGCGATCGGAAAGTGGAAACTGTGGGCGTCCTCGGCGTAATGACCGGACACTGCGTGGACGTGTTTGACACGTTACCGCGATCGCGCATCGTCCAAACGAAGACACAGCTGTGTGGCTCGTTCAAATTGCGGCACGTGTCAGCCGGCATGGAGCCTACCAGATCGCGCCAGCTGTAACCGAACCGGGTCTTGCTGTGCGCTTGACGAACCTATGCTTGTGCGATTTTTGTTCGCGATAAGTTGCGAGAGAGAACAACCAGTCGTAGCACTCCTTTGGTGTCGCGAACTCGCGGTTGCATGCGCGGGATGTCCCGCTCGTCAATGTTGCCGACCAATCACGTTCGTTTCGCGCCGAGCCGCGCATGCATCGGCGCGTAAGAACGAGGTGGGTTCTTTCGGTTTTCTGGGGGCCGCGGAGCCTTCGGTGGCAGCCTGGTGGGTTTCACTCAGCCACGCAGGGCCGCGCTAGGTCCAAACCTGGTGGGATCCTGGGTGGCCGACTTCGCCCCACGCTCCCCGCGATTTCTCCGCGCCCCGTGCATCCCCAGGCGTGGGCGGGGTTTTTCCCGAGCCGCGCCGTATGAACATCCCAGTCCATCCGGGCCCTGGTGGCTTCGAACCCACCAGGTCCCCCTCCTGGTGGGAACCCGTTCCCACCAGGGCCGCACGCCGATGCAAGGGCTGTCGCGACCCCCAGCTGGGAACCGCACGCGGGAGGGAGTCCCCCGCCCCCTCCCAGGTCCCTAGCGAGATCCGGGCGGCGGAGCGGGCTGGCGGGGTGGTCCCGGCCACGCCAGCGCCACGCAGCGTGGTCCCAACCCCGGGCCCAGCCCTGGCTCGCGAAACCCCTCGCGAAACCAATCCGAGGGCGAGGGCCGAACCCCGGCGCGCCGAGACGGATCCGGCCAATCGGAGCCGTTTCCGACTGGTCCGCCCCTCGGAAGAGCCCTCGCGAAGCATTTCGCATGCGAATCCGCGCGTGCGAATGGCAGTTCGGGCTGGCCGAAACGGATTCGGCCAATGGGAGCCGGTTTACGCCATCTCCGTGCAGCACGAAACGGAGCCGGCCAATCGAAAGATCAAACGGAAAGATCAACGAGAGAAAAAAAAAAAATTTACTTTATGCATCGGATGGACAATATTAATGTTTACTTTATGCATCGGGGAAACATTCAGTTTAATAACGGAGTAAACTGAGAAATAACGGAGGTTACCAGGTTACGTGTAATATAACGGAGTGTACTGTTAATTCGGGTGACCCTAAGTCGGACCTCGCCGGTCGCGACGAGGAAAATTATCTCTTCGCGGGAGTTGGCAGCCCGCTCCGAACGGGGCTCGCGGATGGTGTGCAACGTGGCGGACGTTGGATGCACAAGCGTGCATGTTGCGGAACCTCCCCGCAGGGTGAGAGGCCCGCGCGGTGCGACCGCGAGTGCCGTCTCTTGTTTCCATATCGGCCCACTCTTAGGTTCTCGGTACGGGCACCTGGTGCTCATTTTCGTTCTCCGTCTTCACATCTTGTTCTCTTCCTGCTCGCCCGTTCCACGTAGAGGTCCTCGTCGCCTAGTGCTAGCAGAGACTCTGATTGGCCGCGTTCGCGCTTGGTAGCGTCTAGCGTAGCTCATATTTTCTGCCGCGAGCACATTTTCGCGAACCGTTCGTCCTAGATTCACGCGAGCACTGTGTCGCGTACGTTTCGTCCTCGTGCTTTTGCGGTCGTACCAGTAATGAGCCGCGAAATGAAGGCGCTTAGAGCTGGGTCGAAGGAGGCCGCCTCCTGTCCGGCCATCATCTCTGTTGCGGGAGCCACGGTGGATCTCCCCCCCGAACAGTGGAGGCTGCTCGCAGAGGATAAGCATCCTCTCACGGCCCGTCTGTTCGACTTTATCACCGGGTGAGATCCATGCGTTCAATTCCCTGACTCTTATATGCACGCGTTGTTTATGGTCGCGGTGTTTAGGCTGTTCGCGACATGTCAGCGGTAGTTACTCGTAGGCAGTGCAGGCCGCGGCATAACTCCGCTGTGCTTTTGGGTCGGGATGTTACTGTTTGAGCTTTTCCCCGCCTTCTTTTACACCGTCCCGCACAGCGTGATTGTCCGGAGGTATCTGGAGAAGGAGGTGCATGAGCACGTCCGAATAGTGACGAGCGGTGTTGTCGCGGACATAGTCGCGGGTCGGGATGAAGCGGTCCATGCCTTTGGCGGTTTGATGGAGTGCAGCCTGGTGGTTTTCTGCATCTGGTCCGAGTGAGTTTCCATTGGGAGTGTTCACTTGTGCAGGGATTGCACTTGTTTAAGTGGTTTAACGCGATCGTCAATGGCACGTTCAGGGACGTGGTCGACAAGAAGAGCTCGAACGCGAGCATGCTCATTATGCTACACCCCGACCACTTGTCGCTTGACGGCGACGAGTGGAACACGCGGTTCGTTCGCGTTGCTATTCCCACTGGTGGTGCGGAACACGTCACCGCGGCTGATGCGATTGTGGAGTGAGTACCGCGTACTGGTTTATCATCAGTACCACGTTCATTTCCGCTCCGGGGCTCATGTCGCTAACCGTGCGCTCGCGTGGATATGTATGTGCTTTGGTGCAGGTGGTTTCAGGGTCGCGTCGACGAGGATTTTGCGCGCGGCTCCATTCAGTGCACCCGCTCCCGCCAGCTTAAGGATCCCGAGCGTCTGTTGGACGTCTGTGTTGTGTACGTTCTCGATGACCGCCAATAGTTCAGTGGTGCTAACAAACCAATGTTTTTCGCGCATTCCGCGGTGCTAACAAACCCCCATGTTTGGATCCAGGACGCGACGTCATTCTGAGGCGGGTCTGCCGAAGAGCTCGCGTTCAACTTGCGCTTGACAATGACGGCATTGCGGGGAAAGGCTGGACGCGGTTGCTGACCAGTGGATCGGCGTGGTGCAATTCTCGAGGGCCGACCGCGAAGCGAATGCCTGAAGGCCCGCGATGCTGCTTTGGCCGAAGAGGATCGCGGTTCAACTTGCACGTGCAATGCAAGGCATGAACGCTGTGAGGGTGATGGGGCTGAAACGGGATGCGCGGCAGAAAGTGGCTCCGGGTGCCCAGGTTGCTGAGCTCATGTGCTTAGTCATCACGTCGATGAACCGCCAGCCCCCCAGCCTCGCCAGCTGATCCGAAGGCATTCCGTCCGCGGACGCGTGCTGCGCCCCCCCAGCCCTGGTCGCGTGAACCGCACGCGAGCATGTGATTCCCGCGTCCTGGAGAATTTTCGCCGCCCAGTCGTGATGAGTCGTGGGCGGTATTTGCTTCTCGTTGCCCGCGCGAAGGGGGAAGAACAGATATTGATCGTACCACGTGGAGGGTTCCGTGAAGTCGAGAGGGGGGGCTATGTCCTCGTAGAGGATGGGAACCAAGTCGTACACCCAGTGCAGCCACAGCAGCGTCGCTCCGACCGCGCACATCGTCCAATCTATGTGCCTCACAGCAGATATGTAGTTGAGCGAGAAGTCTTTGTTTGTCTTGCCCGTCCTGCACGCGCAAACAAACATGAACGCGTTTCTAACTGGATCGGTCTCCGATTTTGCGCCTAGCTTCCACATCATCATGTCAGGCAGCTGCAGGTTTCTGATCGTGCATCCGCGGGCCAGAGTGTGATGACCGAGCACGGTCATCGTCCGGATGCTGAGGTCGCGATGCATTGCCTGCGTGTATGCTTTCTTGGCTAGTGTGAAGCTGGTCAAGATCGCGTCCATGCTGGTCTTCCTCATCATATGCTTGAACTCGTCCGGGGTGTACGTGTCCGCGGCCGTGCCCCGATGGCGATCCATGTGTTCCCTGCGCATGGATTGGGACGATAGTGCGGGTGTTTGTGGACGCGGGATTGTCAGGCATTAAACGAGTTCACTGAGAACGTATACTTACGCGATAAACCGCTTGTATTGGTCGCGTACTTGAACGCGGACCCAGATGCGACACTCTGCAAAGTCGCGCAGCAGGTTCAGAACGGGCTTCCTGAAGATCGCCCCGTCCAGCTTGATGAGCAGGTTCAAAGCCTTGAGACGCCCCATCAGCATTGCTGGGGTGCACTGGCGTCTCTTCTTCAAGGTCTTCTGCGGCCGCTTGAGTGTGGCCATCCTGTCCGCCTGCGCGACTGTCTCGTTCGCGAGGAAGGTCACGTATTTGCGTAAGCGCCACGGATTCGTCTCAGGGCCGTGGAACCACTGCTCGTCGCCCTCCGCCATCTTCCAGTCACCACCCATGTTCTGTTCGAGCGCGGCCCCAATCTCGTCCGGGTTCGCGTTTCTCAGCGCGGCCTCATCACCAAACCTACCCGCGTCCAGTTTAGGCAGCTCGTGGGCCATGAACCGCTTGTACTCGTTGGCCCAACCGCGATACTTCTTCAGCGTGGCCTCCGAGACACCGTAGAGGATTCCGTAGCACATCTCTCGTTTCGCGGCCGGCGTGTCGTCCACACCTAGCCTGTTCCAATCCGCGATAGGGACCTCAATGTCCCTCCGCGTACCCCGCACCCGTTCGTTGTCTTCCGCCTCCTCCTCGTTGAGCGCGGACAGCGAGTTCGATAGGTAGTTTTCGTCATCGTCATTCCAACTATCGTCCGCATCGTCAGCGCCGTCCTCGTCATCCTCATCGCTTGTCCCCTCGCTCCCCTCCCGGGAGCCATTGCGTGCCGTGTGCGGCACTACATCGACTCTCCGCCTCCTTATACGCGGTCTATTAACTGGCCCGTTACCTGACCCGCCGTTCGCGATAACACCGCTACCCCTGCCGCCGTTACCTGTCACCCCATGCGCTCCCTGCCCGTTCGCACTATTCTTGTTTGCTCCCACACCTGTCGCACGTCCTGCGCTCGCTCTCCCACCCCGTCGTATCGCACCTCTCCCTCTATCCGCGTTCCCTCTCTCCCCTGTCCCTCCTCCCGCGTTCCCCCTCGCACCCGTCCCTCTTCCCTTTACCGCGTTTCCGCTTGCACCCGCTCCACGCCCCGCGTTCCCCGCGTTTGCCTGTGGTTGCCCACCTACACCAGTCGCGTACTCTACAATCGGATGCGTGGGGGTGCGGATGTGGACGTCGGGGTTTCCGGGAAACAGTGAGTTCACGTTCCATATTGGCGGCGAATGTGCACGCACGCGTGCATTCATCCCCGCTCCACCATTCACCGCATGCCCTAAACCACCGGCAACTACGTTCGATGATGGGCCGTCTGTTCGCGCTCGTGTGTCCAAACCGACAACTAATGCATCTCTAGGGTCTGGCGGGGCTTGCACAGCTGGCTGGCTTTCCGGATGAATCGCGCTGGGGAATGGTGTTGACGGCGCGACCGGAGGCGTCACTACAGATGCGGGTGCGTGCACCATGGGGTTTGGTTGAACGCCGATGTACCCGTACCTGAATCCCACGTTCGAGTACTGCGGCCCTACGAAGCCACGCACAGGCATCCCAAAGAGCTGGCTACTGGGCACGGACGGTGGCGCGTCCCCATTACCCGGTTGATTTTGTAACGCGACCCCCGCTGCCGCAAACGGTATTTGTGGCCGCGGTGCTAGGTGGAGCCCGTTGACCAGTTGCTGTGGGTGAAACGTGGGCGTCCTGGACCCAAAAACCACTGGCTGCCCGTATGGGATGCTCCATGCGGGGTTGAGCACGTTCACCCCATGCACGGGAGCGGTGGGTGGTTCGGCATTATGTATTTGATGCGCGGTTGTGTTGCCCGAAGCATTGACGGAGTCGTGAAGTATTGGCGCCGCGACGCGATTCACGGTATGCATGCGGCGTGCGAGGTTGCACCTACTCGTATTCACCGCGTGCGTCAACATGATGCGCGGTCACTATTTCTCCACCCGGGTGTGACTTAGACGCGTCTACCTCGCGACCGATGTGCTCGCGGACATTCGAGCGCGGCACACAACGCGGCCGCGATACTGGTGTCTGGTGAATCCCAGTGGGTCGTGAGGGGGTTGAGCTTGGTGTGCAACTGGCGATCGGAAAGTGGAAACTGTGGGCGTCCTCGGCGTAATGACCGGACACTGCGTGGACGTGTTTGACACGTTACCGCGATCGCGCATCGTCCAAACGAAGACACAGCTGTGTGGCTCGTTCAAATTGCGGCACGTGTCAGCCGGCATGGAGCCTACCAGATCGCGCCAGCTGTAACCGAACCGGGTCTCGCTGTGCGCTTGACGAACCTATGCTTGTGCGATTTTTGTTCGCGATAAGTTGCGAGAGAGAACAACCAGTCGTAGCACTCCTTTGGTGTCGCGAACTCGCGGTTGCATGCGCGGGATGTCCCGCTCGTCAATGTTGCCGACCAATCACGTTCGTTTCGCGCCGAGCCGCGCATGCATCGGCGCGTAAGAACGAGGTGGGTTCTTTCGGTTTTCTGGGGGCCGCGGAGCCTTCGGTGGCAGCCTGGTGGGTTTCACTCAGCCACGCAGGGCCGCGCTAGGTCCAAACCTGGTGGGATCCTGGGTGGCCGACTTCGCCCCACGCTCCCCGCGATTTCTCCGCGCCCCGTGCATCCCCAGGCGTGGGCGGGGTTTTTCCCGAGCCGCGCCGTATGAACATCCCAGTCCATCCGGGCCCTGGTGGCTTCGAACCCACCAGGTCCCCCTCCTGGTGGGAACCCGTTCCCACCAGGGCCGCACGCCGATGCAAGGGCTGTCGCGACCCCCAGCTGGGAACCGCACGCGGGAGGGAGTCCCCCGCCCCCTCCCAGGTCCCTAGCGAGATCCGGGCGGCGGAGCGGGCTGGCGGGGTGGTCCCGGCCACGCCAGCGCCACGCAGCGTGGTCCCAACCCCGGGCCCAGCCCTGGCTCGCGAAACCCCTCGCGAAACCAATCCGAGGGCGAGGGCCGAACCCCGGCGCGCCGAGACGGATCCGGCCAATCGGAGCCGTTTCCGACTGGTCCGCCCCTCGGAAGAGCCCTCGCGAAGCATTTCGCATGCGAATCCGCGCGTGCGAATGGCAGTTCGGGCTGGCCGAAACGGATTCGGCCAATGGGAGCCGGTTTACGCCATCTCCGTGCAGCACGAAACGGAGCCGGCCAATCGAAAGATCAAACGGAAAGATCAAACGAGAGAAAAAAAAAAAATTTTACTTTATGCATCGGATGGACAATATTAATGTTTACTTTATGCATCGGGGAAACATTCAGTTTAATAACGGAGTAAACTGAGAAATAACGGAGGTTACCAGGTTACGTGTAATATAACGGAGTGTACTGTTAATTCGGGTGACCCTAAGTCGGACCTCGCCGGTCGCGACGAGGAAAATTATCTCTTCGCGGGAGTTGGCAGCCCGCTCCGAACGGGGCTCGCGGATGGTGTGCAACGTGGCGGACGTTGGATGCACAAGCGTGCATGTTGCGGAACCTCCCCGCAGGGTGAGAGGCCCGCGCGGTGCGACCGCGAGTGCCGTCTCTTGTTTCCATATCGGCCCACTCTTAGGTTCTCGGTACGGGCACCTGGTGCTCATTTTCGTTCTCCGTCTTCACATCTTGTTCTCTTCCTGCTCGCCCGTTCCACGTAGAGGTCCTCGTCGCCTAGTGCTAGCAGAGACTCTGATTGGCCGCGTTCGCGCTTGGTAGCGTCTAGCGTAGCTCATATTTTCTGCCGCGAGCACATTTTCGCGAACCGTTCGTCCTAGATTCACGCGAGCACTGTGTCGCGTACGTTTCGTCCTCGTGCTTTTGCGGTCGTACCAGTAATGAGCCGCGAAATGAAGGCGCTTAGAGCTGGGTCGAAGGAGGCCGCCTCCTGTCCGGCCATCATCTCTGTTGCGGGAGCCACGGTGGATCTCCCCCCCGAACAGTGGAGGCTGCTCGCAGAGGATAAGCATCCTCTCACGGCCCGTCTGTTCGACTTTATCACCGGGTGAGATCCATGCGTTCAATTCCCTGACTCTTATATGCACGCGTTGTTTATGGTCGCGGTGTTTAGGCTGTTCGCGACATGTCAGCGGTAGTTACTCGTAGGCAGTGCAGGCCGCGGCATAACTCCGCTGTGCTTTTGGGTCGGGATGTTACTGTTTGAGCTTTTCCCCGCCTTCTTTTACACCGTCCCGCACAGCGTGATTGTCCGGAGGTATCTGGAGAAGGAGGTGCATGAGCACGTCCGAATAGTGACGAGCGGTGTTGTCGCGGACATAGTCGCGGGTCGGGATGAAGCGGTCCATGCCTTTGGCGGTTTGATGGAGTGCAGCCTGGTGGTTTTCTGCATCTGGTCCGAGTGAGTTTCCATTGGGAGTGTTCACTTGTGCAGGGATTGCACTCGTTTAAGTGGTTTAACGCGATCGTCAATGGCACGTTCAGGGACGTGGTCGACAAGAAGAGCTCGAACGCGAGCATGCTCATTATGCTACACCCCGACCACTTGTCGCTTGACGGCGACGAGTGGAACACGCGGTTCGTTCGCGTTGCTATTCCCACTGGTGGTGCGGAACACGTCACCGCGGCTGATGCGATTGTGGAGTGAGTACCGCGTACTGGTTTATCATCAGTACCACGTTCATTTCCGCTCCGGGGCTCATGTCGCTAACCGTGCGCTCGCGTGGATATGTATGTGCTTTGGTGCAGGTGGTTTCAGGGTCGCGTCGACGAGGATTTTGCGCGCGGCTCCATTCAGTGCACCCGCTCCCGCCAGCTTAAGGATCCCGAGCGTCTGTTGGATCTGGTACGTCTGTGTTGTGTACGTGTTCTCGATGACCGCCAATAGTTGCAGTGGTGCTAACAAACCCCATGAAATGTTTTCCAGGACGCGACGTCATTCCGCGGCTCATGCGGCAACATCGCTTGTCTGTTCGCGTTCGACAAGATCATTGCCCAGTTGGACGCGGTCGCTGCCAGTGGATCCGGGCCGCAATTCTCGAGGCCAACCGCGAAGACTCTGAATGCACTGAGGCATGAGGCGTACCAAACCGCCGAAGAGCTCGCGTTCAACTTGAGCGTGGATATGACGCGACCCATGCACGGCGGTGAGGCTGAAGGGGCTGAAACGGGGAAGGTGCAGAAAGTGGCTACGGGTGCGCAGGTTGCTGACCATGGTGTTCTCGCTCTCACAGGTGCCGCTGGTGTTTCGAACCGCGGAGGTGCTCGAGGGGGGACGGTGGTCCACGCTGATGACGACGTGGCCGAGGATACCGCGACAAAGGGTGCAACCCGCGATGAGGCTGACCTCGCTGTTGCGCGTGAGGGGGAGGAGTCGAGCGAGGAGGAGGCGGAGGCACATGTGGTAGCGGCCGCGGCATCCAGTAGGGGGAAGAACAGATATTGATCGTACCACGTGGAGGGTTCCGTGAAGTCGAGAGGGGGGGCTATGTCCTCGTAGAAGATGGGAACCAAGTCGTACACCCAGTGCAGCCACAGCAGCGTCGCTCCGACCGCGCACAGCGTCCAATCTATGTGCCTCACAGCAGATATGTAGTTGA